CAGAATGCATCCCCACCTGTCTTAGCTGAATTGCCTCTCTAGCATCTTCTGTGCTACACCCAAGCTCGTAGCTTACTGCTGCCAAGTCTCTGCCTGCTACTAGCACGTCCTTACTAAGTCAACCTCTGCCACCAGTGCCTAGCACAGAATTCGGCACAAAGAAAAGACCAAGTAAATGTTTGATAGAATGGAGTGAAACTTTTGTGTAGTAGTTATTTATTCTCAGCTGATCTCCATAGTCACCAACCTCCCTACTACCCGGTGCCACCCTCAAGAGGACACTTGTGAGCAGAGGAGGTCCCCAGGGCTGAAGACTCCATCAAATCCTGTGATGAAGAGTTTCTTTGGCCAAGAGATCTAGCATTTAACTGATTGGTGACCTTGGTCCAACAATTCGGAGTCTGTTTTCCTCCCATCTACATCTCAGAGCTGCTGCAAAGACCAAGCTATGGAATAAACATCCTTCCAAAGAGCCATGTTGGCTCGTCACTGTATATATTAGTCTAAAGTTTGGGTATGAAATAACATCACTCAGCGAGCTCCTTACAGCAGATTTCTAGGCTCAACCCCAGAACTTCTGATGTAGTAGGTCGGGGGACAGATCTGAGAATGTGCATTTCTAACAAGTTCCCAGGGGAATACTTGTCTTAATTCATTTGGGTTGCAGTAACGGAATACCATAGACTGGGTAGCTTTTAAACAACAGAAATTTACCTTTTATAGTTCTGGGGGCTGGAAAGTCCAATAGCAAGGTGCCAGCAGATTAAGCGTCTAGTCAGGGTCCATTTCCTGGATCCTCACATGGTGGAAGACATGAAGGAGCTCTCTGGGGCCTCTTTTATAAGGGCATTGATCTCTTTCATCAGTGTTCTGCCCTGATGACATCATCAGCACCCATATGTGCCACCTCCTAATATCATCATTTCGAGGATTAGAATTTCAACATACGAATTTTAAAGGAACATACATATTCAGTCTATAACAATACCGATGCTGCTGGTCCAGGGACCACACTTTGAGAACCACTGCCCTAGATGATTCTGAGACCATTACTCTTTCCATGCTGATGCTGTCTTTCCTACATGAAGCATGCTATTTCAATGCTTGCCTTTATGTTTTACCTTTTTTGCTGTTTTGTTGGAATCTTAACCCAGCCTCTAAATTCCTCTGGGCAAAAATTATACCTTCCACTCTACATACTCTCTCACTTTCTGTTTTGTAAAATAATAAGTACATTTCCAGCGTGATTAATAATAGAATAGGAAAAGGAGGAAAATCTCAGACTATCAATGCCAATAAACAACACCTACAAATAGGTATCAGCCCTGGAATTCTCTTAAAAATTAATTACCGGGCAAAAAACATTCCACCATCAGTGGTGATACGGGAAGGAAGATTATCTTCTTGATGACACATTTTGTAAAATGTGGATTATTCAAGATTTTAGCTATAACTTAAACACCAACGTTTTTTAAAAATAAAATACCACAATTGCATTTCAACTCAAAATTTTTATACTGATAGCCAGACTATTGTGTTTTCAACAAGTAAAATCCATTACACAGTCATGGCAACAGTTTGCAATAGATTGTAAATTTTTATTGAGATGATCATCTTGCGATTGAATTTCAAAATGTATTATATGATCATCAGCAAATAAGTCCACAGGGGCTGCTAAAGTACTTTGAATATCATTTATAAAGATCAAAAACCCTGGAAACTCTTACATTTACCCTGTGGAAAGAGAGAAGTCTCATCAGTAGGATCAAATCAATTATTTTTATGGATGAATATTGCATTGCAAAGCTGAGATAAGGTATTACCCAGTTTAATAACATATCATTATATCCTTTGAAAGTAGTAAGTTTCATAATCAGGTTTCAATGAGGAATTTTACCAAAGGCCTGTTTTGAAAATAATCAAGAAAATGGCATCTCTGTTCAGCATAGTGGTTGAATAACCTTACAAGGAATATTTTCAAGCAACGAAAATACCTGGGTTACATACTACCACAATACATCACTGAGATACTTAAGAACAGTTACAGCCAATTCCACTATAACTCTTGCTTTGAAAATGCAAATTTGTTCCAACATAATTAATATATGAAAGGGCAATTTGAGAATAACACGAATTCCGCATTTGCTTATGTGTGATTTTGTATGTGAGAAACATTAGTGAAGAAGAAACCTGCACCCAGCAGAACTGAGCCACCTAGGAATACAAGCATACACACAGTTCCAACCCTTACCTGCCCCCTCAGCTCACTACCTGTGTTCTGAGCTACACCTTTTCCCCCAGTTTCAGACAGCTTTCCTTCCACCACTTCATAGTCACTCACAGGCTGTAACCTCCCTGATGCCCACTTCCACAGCAAACTTCAGGTCTTTTTCAAGGTAACACACCATCTGTGTTGAGTATCCTTTATCCAAAATGCTTGGGACCAGAAGTGTTTCAGATTTCAGATTTTCTTGAATTTCAGAATATTTGCCTATACCTACTAAGATATCTTGGGGATGGGACCCAAGTCCAAACACAAAATTCATTTATGTTTTATATATATATATCATAGGCAATCTTATATAATATTTTAAATAATGTTGTACATGAACCGAGTTTGTGTACATGGAACCGTCAGAAAGCAGAGATGTAACTGTCTTAGCCACTTATGTGGACAATTCTGTGCTTGTCTGTCATCACCATAATTCCTGACTTTCAATGTATATGCCATTGATAAGAAATCATCTTCTTATGCTTATTCACACAAAAGTGCTTAACAGTAAAAAAGAATAAGTGATATATCATTAATACCATAAAAAATTAATGTGTTCAGGTTAACTGAGCAGCACAGTAGCCTCAGCAGATACCTGGATCAGCTGTTGAACGTCAGCAACAAACATCCTGGCTTTCAGTCCTCTCCCTGTGATGTTGTGCTTTGATGAAGAGTTCGTACACCCTGCATTTTATTGTTTTAGATGAGAACAAACATCAGAAGCAGGTGAGGAACCAGGAAGTGGATCCTCTAGGGAGAAAGAGGCATTCTGCTCGATGGCTTTTAAAAATGTTTCCTCCAGAGTCATCTGCCTCGTTAACAAGGATTTTTGTCTTAGATGTCTCTGATTTTATAAATTGACAAGGTTTCCTGTTCTGCTATGAATGCATACTGCTCCAGTCCTTCAATAAGCTCATCACCAATGCTTGCAGTGTCATCTACAGGCACTTTTTCTGCAGTGTTAACAATGTCATGTTCATTTGTTGTATCGTGTTGGCACTCAGTAAGTTTCAAATTTTGGAGCATTTTGGATTTCCGAGGTTCAGCTTAGGAATACTCCACCTGGATGGATGCACTTCTTGGCCATTTCACATGCATAAAATTGTGCCGCAAGTTTTACTAGATTCCCCTCTTTTTTGATGTGTCACTAGGGAAGTATGGCCCTCCAGCCCCATTTTTTCCATAATCCCTGTGGTTTTTATTTCATAACTTGATATACTGTGGTGATTTTTAAGGACCTATATATCAGGTTATGGCAGAACTGTATGCACTTTCCCTTGCTGTTTGTTCCACGGTTCCTGTACTGATGGTTCCTTCCCCTCCACCCAGATGCCCCCAGTGACTCCTTTTTGTTTTCTGAAACCCATGCTGCCTGCTTTCCTGAACCACACCCGCTTCCACTAGAACATCCCCAGCTGTATATACAATGCTCTCTCTCTGTCTCTCTTTATTCATCATGATGTGGCCAAAAATCAAAGGCTGAGAATCAGAAAATCTAAGTGTAATTGATGACCATGCCACTGGCCATTCTATGACTTTAGACAAAGAGTTTAAAAGCACTGAGTCTCTTTTCCTTTGTGTATACATGAAATGTAAGTTCGTACAGCAAAAGGTTACTTGGAGTGAAAAAAAGATATAAATAAGGTAATTTGCAACAAATAAACTGCAAGTTCTTTTAATTTCTTGAGTTGCATCCAGTGCCAGACCATCTCAGATACAGTGAGACACGCATTGTTAGCCAATAGCCCCTGATTAGAAATGCAGTAGAAGCCAGGAGACCTGGGACACAGTTGGATCCAGAGAATCTCTCCTCTTAGACACAATCTCCGCCAGCAAACTCTTACATGGCATCCAGAAATATCAGAGAGACAGGTGTAGTCAGCAGCCCACAGAGATAGAGTGGAATCCAGAGGACCCTCAGAGGAATAGTCCCAATCCAGACTCTTAGGTAGGGATAGGAGCCTCCAGGGGCTACAGAGGCAGGAAGCTCTTAGGGATTAAGGCAGTTTCAGAAACAATTCAGAGATACTGTGAGAGCCAGGAGGCATTTAAGACATGGTTGGCAACAGAAGCCCCTCGGAGACAACTCTAGAATTAGGAACCATCAAGAAAATTGTCAAAACCAAGAGTCACAGGCCCAGCTCAGGGAGCCTCAGGAACAATGTTAGAATTAGAAACACATTAAAGATACAACCAAAACCAGAAGACCGCAAGGACATAGTCTAAATGAAGCCTTCAGGGTGCATAGTCAGAGCCAGGAGCCCTCAGAGACACAACCAGAGCCAGAAGCCCTCAGAGAAACAGCGCCAAGAACCCTCAGAGAAACACGGCCAGGGCCCTCAGAGACACAAAACCAAGAGCCCTCAAAGACATTCTTAGCATTAGAAAGCCTCAGACATATAAATGGCAGCAGCAGTTCTGGGAGACACAGAGCCAGTGTGTCTCATCAGAAACACTATTAGATCCAGGAACCTCCCATGACCCAGCTAAAGTCAGGAGGTTCTCAGAATCACAGTCAGAACTAGAAAGTCCCCAGAAATGCAACCACAGCCAGCAGGTCCTCAAAAAAAAAAAACCAAACCTTGATCCTTTTTTATCCACAATAGGAAGCACATTCACATTCAAAGAAAATTAGGAATTATTTGTCACAGGAAGGTAAGAGGAAGGCCAGTCTTGGCAACAGCACGGCTTCTCATAATGGAGCCTGGAAAAAAAAAAAAAATCTTACCTGCACACTTGGTCCTGGTGGTGAGGGGAGGCCCTGGCGGTCCGGTACCCCCCTCACCTGGTCGTGTGAGGAGCACTCGGATCTCATACTCAACGTCGGGGTCCAGATGCCACAGCTTGTAGTTGGGAGAGTCGACTATGTGGGTCTCCGCCCAGGTGCCTGTGGTGGTGCGATATTCCACTTCCTTCAGGATGATGGGGCCATCCCCGATGATGGAGTTGGCATTTGGCTTGATCCACAGGTATGTGGCCCCCACAGCCAGCAGCTCTGGGGGAGCAATGGGCGTGGGAGGCTCTGTAAGACAAACAATCAACAAAAGACTGTCAGACTCAAATGATTTACAGAGCAGACTCCGAGCACATGATGACAAGGCATAGAATTCACAACATAGCCACAAAAAATTGTCAGAAAACCCTTTGGATTTTATTTTATTTAATAATTTTAATTTAATTTGTTTGAGATGGAGTCTTGCTCTGTCATTCAGAATGGAGTGCAATGGGGCCATCTCAGCTCACTGCAACCTCTGCCTCCCTGATTCAAGCAATTCTCATGCCTCAGCCTCCCAAGTAGCTGGGATTATAGGCGCCTGCCACCACAGCTGGTTAATTTTTGTATTTTTAGTGCAGATGGGGTTTTACCATGTTGGCCAGGCTGGGTCTTGAACTCCTGACTTCAGGTGATTCACTCACCTCAGCCTCCCAAAGTGCTGGGATTACAGGCATGAGCCACCACGCCCGGCCTGAAAACCCTTTTTAAATCCCATTCATGCCCTACTTTAAGGGTTTGCATGTAAGTACCTGAATCAGTATTTCTTCAGTAGCTATATTCAACACCTACCTTATCTCCTTTATTTAAAGGCACGAAAGAAAGAAGGCCATGTGAGGAAATGGTTTTCCCAGAACACAGCAAAGCTGCTGGGTGAATACTCTGTTTTCTAGCCTCAAAGGAAAACCTACTTTTGCTGAAGTGAAGTTTGGCACAAAACCCAGGGGAGCCTAAGGTCTACAAACATTTCTTACACAGAACACATAGATTGTTAGTGGAAGTTCTTTCCAAAGGGTGATAAGAGCCTAAGTAGAAAAGGAATGATGGCACAGCAAGAATTCAGCTTCTGCCTCAACCCCAGCAGGTTTCTTCCAGCAGAGAAAGTCATGGGTCACAGCGGACTCAGCAGGAATGAGGGGTCAAAGGAAGAGTCATGCTGAGTTTTCTTGCATCTGCTCTGTGCTGCCACCTCTCTTCCACTGAGTTCCACACAGTCAGCTAAGTAGACTAAAGGTTCAGCAGGCATGAATTGTGGACTCTTCCTCGCAATTATTAGCCCATGGCAAAGCTACAAAAATTAACGCTTATCTTGTACTTCTTACGTACTTTAAAATCTCACACATATCATTTCATGTAATTCTTGGGACAATATCATCACCTTCACTTTAATGGAGAAAAACAAAACAAAGCAAAACAAAACAGAGAACCTAAGAAATCAGGTCACCTAACCAAGGTCATGGAGAAGGTAGCGTAAGATGCAACTTACATCTGCATGACTTCCTGGACCAACCTGCACCAAGGAAGGCTGTCTGCCTCTTAATATTCATCTTTAAAAACATGGAACTGAATATATTGGTTATTTTTATTTGTAGTAAAAACGGCAGAACAATAAAGAAAACAGAAGAAAGAGAAAATATGAGAAGAAATGGAAGAAAATGGAGAAAAATGGAAGAAAGAAAATATCTCTACCATCCAACATAGCCATTTTTATTCCTCCATGTTCCATTACAATGTTTATTTATGTACTGACACATTTTTTTGTGTGGTTATAATAACACATAGACCCAATGTAGATTCATTTTTCTTCCTTCACTTATATTGTAAGGATTTTTTTTTTTTTGCATACACTGCTCGAGCTTTATCATCACTGTCTTTAATATTTACAGAACAATCCATCAGGTTACCACACTAAGCATTCACTGATTGCTGGATACGTGAGTTGTTAATGTTTTGCTAGGATAAATAATGCTACAATGAACATCTTTGTGCAAATGACCTCAGTCTGTCTTATCTTATGTTTTCTTAGGACCAAGGATATGAACAAGAGGAAACAAAGAGTAGAACAAGGAAGAGGAGAAAGGGGAGGCACAGAGGAGGCACATGAGGGTGGAATACAATGTGCATTTGTTTGAGAACATCTCACTTGTAGAGGGCCTCTGGTTTATTCGCATGGATAGAAGGCAGGTATACATTTTAGCTTGGAACTCAGGTAAGGGCTTTGAGATAGAGACGCACTCAGCACTTCCCTTCTAATTAATTACCTAGAAGCAAAGATTCTCTAGAAACAGAATAATTGCTAGGAAACAGAGGTGGACAATATTTTCTCAATGTGACTCGAAACAAATCTTAAGGGACAACTCCAGATTGCCTCTATTATAGCCTGCCGTTTGGTCAGAGAAGGAAATTAAGCAGATTAGTCAAGCTAGATGCTTTTCTTTACAAAGCCATGGAGGTTATTACTCAAGACCTTGTTATCTCAAAGGTGTTTGCAAATTGATTTTTGGATAATTTGTTGCAGGTAGAGAAGTTAGGTTGGCAGGCAGATAATTTCTGAGCTCATCCTTTGTGCATGTTAAATATATGAACCCTTTGATTGTCATTATCAACTCCCCAGAGCTCCCATCAGTCTCCAGAGAAGCCCCAGGGGTGATCTTTTGCAGCTCTCTGATGACTCTGCCCAATTCCTTAACATAATTATTCACAGACTAGACCTCTATAGAATTAAGAGCAGCAGACTTCAACAGTTTGGGTGCTGAGGGAGTGGCCCCATTTAGTTCTTTTCCATCGACTTTTCACCATGGTTTTCTGCTCTCCTATTTCAGACAGCAGTATTCAATTGCTGATCACCCGAAAGAAAATAAAGTATTAAATCTTTCCAAATGGTTAGCTTCTTTTCATGTATTTCTAATGGCATGTGCAAGTATAGTAACAAACATCCCCTTGAGTATATAAATGTCCCTTTCTCAAATGACTTGCGACTTCACACATTTGTGTGCAGATTAGCCACGTGGTTACCTCTCCGTCCATCCCCTCAAGAATAGACCACGTAAGTTTAATCACAGTGTTTCCTCTATGTGGCACCAGGGAAGCCATCAGATTATTGTGTGCTTTATTCTTTTCTTTTTTAATGATCAACTGATTTATAATTGGCATTGTTTAGAAGGCACAGGTACTGGTGGTTCAAAGAGAGAGAAGCAAAAATATAGTACAGAATGATTTTTTTGGTAAGCACACATTATTTTACAAATACATAGAAAAAGCCTATTCTATTTATATCAGTTCTCTAAGATGAACTCTTCAAGAAGACAGTATAGGAAATGTACAGGGCCATCCAGTCCAATGGCCAGAGTCATCAGGAAGGAAAAGGAAACCCCCGTGTATCTCATTTGCCAGACAGAGCACTGTGCGCATGAAATCTAACGCAGCCAAGTAAATCAGTGATAACGAAGTGTAATAAAGTCATGATGGGGGTGGCAGAGGCATTTCTGAAGCCTGTGAAATGACCTAATCTGGTCTAGAGGTTACGGAAGCTCTTGCAGACAGCGCTTAGGGGAGTGTTCTGCTGGGACTGCTCATGTTGAGTCTATGAAAAAAGAAAAATTCCTGGGGGTCTCCTAGCTCTGAGTTACTTGGGATAGACTGGTAAACAATTAAAACGATGTCCCCTGTACATTCATTCATTCACTCATTCTATGAATGTCGAGTCCCTGCTGCTGGTCACACTCTGTCCCAGGCGCAGACACAATCTTGGCTGCATGGAGCTCACCTTCCAGCCTTCACTCAAGGATTGACACAAAGAAGTCAGGAGAGAAGGAAGCTGACTCAGAAGATGTTGAGAAGGAGGGCATCCGAGAATGGAGAGGCCCTGGGAGCCAGACCTAGGTAGGAGATTATGGATCCATAAAGCGATACACATATACAAAATGGATTACTGCTCAGTGAGAAGAAATGAACCAGCTGCAGATGCAGACACACACAGCAACATGAGTAAATCTCAAAAAAAATTCATGCAAAAGAAAAATAAAAGAAGAATGCATGATGACCCCACTTAGGTGAAAAATTCAAGAACAAGCAAAACTGCACTATGGTGATAAAAGCCAGAAGCATAGTTACCTAGCAGGCAGGTACTGACTGGGACAGAGCCTGAGGGAAGTTTCTGGGATGTTAGAATGTTCTCTATATGCTGATTTGGGTAATTAAATAATAGAAATCAGAACAGTGTTACTATAAGGGACATGACTGCCTGAAAGAAGGCATGAGAAAAATTTGGGAGGTTATAACCATTTCTGTATCTTAACCAGGGTTATGTAAGACTCATTAAACTGTGAACTTAAAACATAGGTATTTTTATGTATATAAGTGATACCTTAAAAGTTAAAAAAAAATCACAAAAATATGGATATGTGACTCACTAGGTGAAGAGAATGCCACTAATTACTTGAAACTGAACCCCAGAAAGTTGGGAGAAAATTAGCCTTTACTTCTATACCATTCCCTCCTATCAGCACCATCAGATGCTTGAATTCCTAACAGTTTTCCTAACAAGAGGTTGTTCAGGCACACACCAGTTTCTTATTCATGAGCCTTTTCACATCTAACGCAACCAACGCCCTCTCCTTACCAGACTCCACAGCATCATCTGTGCAAAGCCAGGAGTAAGTAACATCTGATGGCACCCTCTGTTCATGAAGTTTGCAACCAGACTAAGGAGGAGGAAGTCTTGCCTTCAGGGAGCTGAGGCCTGAGCTGGGTGATGACATCAGTGCCTTCCAGCCAGGCATCAAAGCACTGCAAGGACAAGGATTCCAGGAGCCATCCATGAGGCCTGGGCAGCAGCAGCCCTGAGCTTCCAAGGCTCTCCTTCAACATGTAGATGGTGAAGTGACCTCTTCATGTAATTCTGCCTCATCCTCAGGCAGCAATCTCCAGAACAATTCTGTCTTTCTTTTCCCTGCTGTGAGCACTTGTAACAGTTTGACTCCCCAGAAATTCCCACAGAGAGCAAAAGTGTTTCAAATAGCTGGAGACAGAGCTGTGCGCATGTATTGTCTGCTCCAGACAGAAATCAAACATTTTGAGAAAAACCAAATGTTACTAAGATGTGAAGTGAGCCTTGATATGATTAAGGTGAGCATAACCTGGCCTCCAACACTTTCCACCACATGCCTCACGCTACCTGATCACCGTTTTAATTGCATTTCTATTCACTGACCCTCTAGGTCTGTGGGAATGCCTCCACCCACCCAACG